AAATATTAATGAAGCTTTCTAAATTTGGTAACATCAGGTTTCACCTCAAATCCAATGCAATACATATGTTTAGCATATGTATACACACATGAACACATAGGCACCCAGAGTTAAAAATGCTATTTAAGTGTACAAGCATAAACACATACATATATAGACTTCCATTGAAAAGCAAAACCAAAACCAACTATTGAACTAAGAAGAAATGATACCACAGAACAGAGTGTGCAAAATTACAGTGGGAGGGGGAGGTCATTTTCAACTTACAAATAGTAAACCTATCTTTTAAAAAGAAACCCTTTGTCCTTTTGTTAAAATAGAGATATTTTAAAAGCTGATATTGTTTAAACTAGAGAAGTATAACAGTTTGTTCAGTTAATGTGCTGCTGATTGTCACACAAGATTTAATAGGGTATATGTATCACACAAAAGAAGGAAAAAAGTTATGAAGCTTTTTATTTGTATTTCTCTAATATAAGATGTTCCTTGTAGATTTTTGCATGACATACTAGTTTTGTGAATAATCAACTTCAATGAATTGTACTTTATAGAGGTACTGAAAGACTCAATGTCTAATGTTAAGCTAATATGCCTCTGTGTGTTCTGGACCTCTCTATTTTGAAAACATGAATAATGATTGTAAGGTCATTTCCAACCTTAACCATTCTAGGATTCCATTATATTCATTATGACATAGCTTAATATTTCCTAAGAATAGGGTTCTGCTCTGCAGCTATGGCTATTGTTGCAATCGGACATGGAAACGATAACATTTTCAAGGGTTTTATATTGCATTAAGATTTTAGTAGAGGAGTTCAATCCTATAGGAGCTTAGGAGGGATAACTCACACCAACTCATTCAGGCCAAGGAACTGCATCTCTACCCATGAGTGTGGCATTAAACATACAAAAATAAGTTGACATGCATCTGGCTATAAAACAAATACGAAATTCAAGCTAGCGAGTTACCTCTGCTATAGAACAAAAATGCTGAGGTGGCAGGAATATCAGTCAGAATATTCACAGCCTTACATGTATTTCTATAATGGAGAAAATAAATAGAAAATTAAATTCTGAAGTGCAGTTTATCCAGGGAAAGATACATTAATTTTCCACAAATATCTTTTATCATAAAAAATGACTAAACCATCCTTTCCAGGAGGAACGCTAATACTGACACATCTATTTATTGTGACTATAGGTCATATAACTGATTTACTCAACACATTAAAAGAAAAACCCTAACTTAGAGAAAAAAATAAAAAAAAAACAGAAAGAGGCAGTTTTCTGTCAGAAGAATAAGATAACAATTCTGAGTTTGGATTTTGTCTGCTGAGTTCTATTCAAAGGATTAAAGAAGCTTCTGAATTCTTCTTGTTTGTCCTTTTGTTTGTTAATTAGTTTGTTTCTTTTAATATTTACAGGGCTTATTTTAATTTTCTGTATAAATAGTGTTGGTTTTAATGGTTACTTAAATTTTCACCATTTAGTACTAATTGTTGATGCTATATAATGATATATAGTTATACAGCGCTGACAAGGTTATGTAGGAAAGTAATAAAAGTAATAAAAATACACACATATACTTTAAAAGTGTCTAATGAGGATCAGCTACTATTTAATTTTAATTTCTATAAAATTTTGATGTCAGTAGTAAGAAAATTATAATAAAGGTGTTCACTTTATAATTCCAGAAAAAATAAGGGGAGTTAGAATTAACTACTCACTTATCAGAACTGGTACCTTATTCAAATTAACTTGTTTATGTTGAAGAAGGTGCATAAACCCAAGCTCATACCTTGGTTTACCATCCTGAAAAAATGTGGAGGGGAAGTGGAGAATGGAAAAGTAGCCAATGATAACATCTTTAATAAAACACCTTACTATGAACCAATGTTTTTAGACATTATGTTCACTTACTATTTTCTGGAAGTTCAAAAGGATTCAGCATGGATTTGACTGTGATAGTCAGTTGCACAGTAAAAGAATTTTGTTTATATCATGAATGTTTCTGCTGTGGTAATTTCCTTTACTTTTCCTGCTGCTATTAAAAGTCTGCACCTTATGTACAAGGCCAGACACAGATATTATATGAATGGAGAGGAAAAAGGACTCAAGGAATTGCCAAGGAAGGTGGTTAGTTGTGACCAGTAATGTTTGCAGGAGTATGACAACTACAGTGACAGCTGCTAATGGAGAAGGAAAAATTATATCAATCTTCTTAGCTCTGCAAAATTCTGGCAAGAGCTATTCAAGAACTAGCAGATCCGTGCTAAACAATGCTGGCAAATACACATATTAATGGACTAAATACATGACATGGGTCTTCAGGATTGCTTTGAAAGTAACAGACATTTCCAGGTGGAAATCTGATACCAAGTCATACATCAGTCACTGTGATGAAAACTTGTCATATACTCACTTTATAGAAGGACAATACCTGCACTAAAAGCAATTCTGAAATTTCTAGTGCTTGGTGGAAGTGCAACCATTATGGTACTGATAGTTGAATATATGTATCAATTTATTTATATTTTCTTAGAAGAATTCAATTCAAATGCTATATTTATAGATCTAAGATCAGACCATAGTATTTAATCATATCTAATCCATTAAAAAGAGTATATTCAAACTTAGCTTTGCTTAATAATTCTGTTTAAATTTCAATTAAACCATCCTTAAAAAAAAAGAAAGAAAAGAAAGAAAAGAAAAGAAAAAAAGAAAAGGAAAAGAAAAGAAAAGAAAAGAAAAGAAAAAAGAAAAGAAAAGAAAAGAAAAGAAAAGAAAAGAAAAGAAAAGAAAAGAAAAGAAAAGAAAAGAAAAGAAAAGAAAAGAAAAAAGAAAAAAGCTTGAAAATCCAATATCACAATAAAGTTTCCAGTTACAGAAAGCTCTGTGGTCCTGTTGCCACTACAGACCTCACTGAGTTTGTCTGCACACTACTGGGGTTCCCTCCCTCCTGCCCATGAGCCAGGACCCCATATCACTCCCCTGGGCCATCAGTCCCTACACTGCAGAATGGCCGGTTTTCTAGTTCCCACAGTCCCGCCTGGTGCAGCTCAGCAGGGCCCACAGACGTGTTCCATGTCAGGCCCATCAGGCTGCCTTAGTGCCCATGGCCCTGCTGGCCAGCCTGCTGTTGTGTCCACAGGCACCTGCCAGCCTGTCTGGCACCTAATGGCACAATTTTTTAAGTTGTGCTAATTGTTTGCAACTTTTTGCTTTCTCTCATCTATCTGAATTCACCTGTCTTCAGCTTCCAGACACTGTGCAACCAACATGCTACTCAGCATGACATTTTGGGGATAAAAAATAAGCTGCTGTCATGGTTAAATATACTCCCTGGTGGGGTGAGAAAAGGCAGAAAAGGTCTTGTCTCTGTGTAATCACTGATCATCAGCCGCTAAAACATCCCTATGTTATCAACACTCTTCAGAACAAATCAAAATCATAACCCCATACTATCTGCTACGAAGAAAATTAACTCTATACCAGCCAAAACCAGCGCAGCTACCATTTGTATAGTACTTCTAAGAATACACTAGTGAAACGATCACAGCCTTCAATTGTGTTCACACTTTATTATATAATGAGCAACTTGTTATATAAGGAAATAATACACTTTCGTAATCTCCTGCTATGTAGGTATGTATGTTTACCTAATCCTACATCTAGCTTCTTGATTTACAACTCATATACCAATAGAAGGAACAAAGAAGTTTTATACAGCTTAAACACTTGTCTGACATGAATTCTTGTCAGATAGATAGGTGAAAGTGAAATCAAAGCACAAATTCATCAAGCTGTACTCTTTTATTATCAACATCTGAATACACAGAATATATATACGAATATATGAGCTATCAAAAAACAGTACCATGTTGTAGATGCAGTACAATATTTCTTTATTTATTTCACAAAAATGACACCTGGACACTCTGAATAGCCTATAATTAATTCAACCCTGAAAACATTCTAAAAAGCAAGTACTTTTTCTCTTTTTTATCCATCTGCAATCTCACAGTTCTTTTCTAGAGTTATGAAACACAAAGAGCCTCTATACACAGTGTAATAAAAACCATGCTGCTCTGTTACAAGTGCAATCTACAGAGTGATAATGAAGACAGCTGCTGAATCATTAATATCGTGAAAGGAGAGTGAAAGGTAATATTTTTATAATTAAGCTTATTTCAAAAGCAGCTTAGATGTTGTCTTAGATGCTATTGAGTGATAATTTAAATTATTCTCTGTAATTAACAGTCAAAAGGAAAAGAAAGCAAGTTTTGAACGGAAATGTTAAAGAGTAAAAGGGAAATTTTACATTCAGAACTTACGTTTAGGCTGAAGTGCCTACAAGTAAAGCTTCTAATTATGGACCCTCAAAGTCACACTGTTGCTTAAATTAAAATCAGGAGATCCCTCTCAACAATTGCTACTATCAATGGCAAAAAAATAATCTGGCACGCTATCTTCAAAGTTTAATTGTAGCTAATTTTTACATTATTACAAAAGTGTTAAAATTCTATTTTTTAACACAGAAAAATGAGTTTTTAAGAAAAAAGAATAATATTTGTTCTATTTCTCTAGTATCTGTTCTAAGTTTTGCTATACTTAGGCCTGAATATTTTCCCTACTAAGGTCCGTGTAAAGACCTGAATATTTTCCCTATTAAGGTCAGCGCATTCTCATACTACTTCTGTGACTTAGTTTATTCATCACAGTATGGCAGTATAATTTCAGAAATAATAGATGTAATTCTTGTTTAAAAAAGCACTTCATGATTATGGTTTAATCAGCACATAAGTTTATCATCTGATCAAATAAGAAATCAGCTGCAGATTAAGACTTCTAAATGAAGGTGTACTCCTGTGAAAGAGGCATTTGTGTTATCATTACAGTCAGTGGAGAATTCGGCAATAGATTCAAGAAGCCTACAGTGTGGTACAGAGCGCCATAACTTGGATATTCAAAATGCAATTCAATTGCCAAAATGTAGGCACCTGCAGTTATTTTTTCTTGCTGCAAAGCCTGGTTTACAGTAGCTGATCCAAAACAGTGCAGGTTTCCATTCAGTCATATTCCTAGATGCCATAGGCTGTCATGCACAACAGACATTCTGTTACCATGTCTGGGTAACAGAAACACTCTTTTGATTTGAATAAGAGTGACACTTCAGAGGTTGTGGAGTACGTTACTGAATTGTCCTGAAACGTCAGAGACCTAGATGAGGCTGTCTTTCACTACACATGACATAAGGGAGATGTGTACTGTTCCAGGGTGACAATTAGAGATAAGCTAGGATAACCCAGAAAATTTCAAACAATGATAGTCACTTACATTTAAGCAACAGAACTAAATGTTAGTTCTCACCTAGGTATAATAGTAGCTTCCACACCGAGAGATCTCTTTAATTTCCCATAATGTGGCATCTGATTTTATTTACGAAAACTTAAAGACAGCTAAAATATCTGCATTGTGCTGAAAGGTATTACAAATATATGGAGGACCTATGCCTTCCTGGAAGCCAGGCAGGATATCATAAGCCTACTTTTAAGACTCAGTGCTTATGTTTGGACAACTAAATTTGGCCTCATCTCACACACTGACATTAAATTTAAAATTTATATATCTTAAATTTCAAATGAATTACACTCATCTAAGGCATTCCAAAGCATAAGGGACATGCTGAGGACTAGCAAATACTACAGAGGAACTATGGAGATCCACACCTTTCAAGAAGACTCTATCAAGTCCATGCATGATAGCCCAGGACATCTTGAGGAACTCTAGGTCTCTACATGCGGACAAAGGAATCAAGTCACAGATTTCCATACTTGAACTATTATTATACACTTGTTACAAGTACATGTGGCCATCTAAAATATATTTCAAATAAATTAGTTGAATTGTGTCTTTCTGAGCCTTGCTTTCTCTTTTACGGGAGACAAAATTCATTAGCTTAGCTATGGACATGTAAAGATGGGTGAGATTAGTATTGTTTTTACAGTGAATGAGACATCATTTGCAGAAATGATTCCAAGGTACAGATAATAATTTGTTTCCATTCTTGTGGTTGTTATTTGCACTAGTAGCTCAGGGTAAGTAAACAATACTGAGGCAAATTATTCAGAAATAAAACCTATATTAAGAAGTAAGGCTAGCTGTCTGTGTTAGCTATGCTCTTGCTATGCTATTGCAAGAAGCGTGATTTTATTTTTAATCTGAGTGGCTTTAAAACAGAAGACATGAGTGAAAAAATAAGCCCTGAAGAGCTTAAGGAAAGAAGGAAACATCTGAGAAGAGCAACAGAAAGATGTTTAGGAGAAAAAAGAATCATGGTGTCTGTCCTGGGTTCAGCAGTAGCAGTCAATTTTTCTCTTTCTTAGCAGCTGGTGCAGCTCTGTGTTTTGACTTTCAGCCTGGGAACAGAGCTGATAACACTGATATTTACTCTGACCAAGGAGTAAGTGATAATTTTAAGAAAGTGGAGGGGAAAGTTATAAAATGTGAATACTGCTGTACCCAAATCAAAATATTAAAAGCTGTATTTGAGGAGAACAACTTAGTAGCTAAAGAGGACACATGAACTGCATGGACAGTTTTGGGTTTTTTTTTTTTCAGATTTTCCTTTGTTATAGAGGCTTCATGCAACTTATTCATAAAATAGTAGACTTTTAAATCTTTAATGATCTTCTGCACCGATATAAAATTTTCCTTCTCAATTTACATTGCTGTTATAATTTCAGTTCTCCTGGTGAATTTGCTTGGGCTTTGTTTGTTTTTTTTTAATATTATTTCAATAAAAGCTCTTACAGAAAATATTGACTAAGTTAAGTGCTTACATGGCTCCAGTTGCTTCAACTATATTTATGGAATTTTTCTTCAGAAAAGTTATAAGAAATTGTTACAAAGTTGCACTTGAATTTCTTCACTAAATTGTGCTTCTTTCAAAACTATTTTGAAAGAATCTCTTGATCTTTGTGATGGTGCAAGGGGAATGCAGGTGAATCATTTTTTGAGAGATTTTTTTAAGAATCTCATGGAGCAGAAATACGTTTTGAGTAGTAGAAATCAGCAGAAGAGAAGGTTTGGCTACTCCTTGAAATTATCTAGGAACCAGGACTGAGAAGAAGGAAAGTTTCTTTTTTTTTTTTTCTTTATTTTTTTTACTTTTGTGTTGAATTCATACACAAAACAAAACAATGATGTGTGAAATAATAGATATGTTTTCAGTACATGAACTAATCTACTTAGAAAACTAAGGTGTATAGGTAGAAAATGACATTCCAAAAAATATACATGTATCATTCAAAGTCATCTGTCTTTCAGTCATTCCAAAGCTATGCACTGTTACTAAATTAATTCTTCAGGGACTCTATGCAGAATACCATAGATGTTACTTCTAAGCTTTCAGCTTCAGTTTCAGTCCAAGTAAATCAAGTCGTTGCATGAATGAGTTATCGAGCTCATGGTGATGCAGGATGGGCACAGTGCTACTGTAATGTAATGCCATGCTATGATTCACAGAATTAATTAAGTCATATCTGGTACTCTTCATGTTTTCCTTAGAGACACCAGCTTGGACACCAGTTCCTATCCCAGTAGAGGCTACAGCAGAGTCAGCCGAACAATACTGAAGTTATTTGTTGCCTGCTATTTTTATCTTCTTGGTACTGTTTTCTTAGTTTTCTGGTTATTCACTGAGTAGTCCAAAGGGGATTAGAAAATGGGCACTAGGTATATGATCACGTTTTCTTAGTTTTCCATTAACTGAAGATTTCTGTACCTTTGGCAGAAGTACACTAAATTGCTTAAGGATATTTTAACAATAGGAGTTTAAAATGTAAAGTACGTAGAATTTTTCATTCTCAATAAATATTTATCCAAAGAAAACCAAAAACACTGAACCAGCAAACTACTCCTATATATATTTGAAATGTGTTTCTTGCATATTTTCTTGTATCAGATTATCTGTACAAAGAAATAACTTAATTACAGTCTGTTCTGATACATTTTTCACTCACAGTGACTGACTAAAACCCTTTAGGGATCAACAGCACTGTAGTGATTTTCTGGCTTCAGCTAGTTGGTGAGAAGAAAGAAAGAGTCTCAAAAGGACTGTTATTTTTTGTTTTTTTTGCAAGGATTTGCTTTCTTGTTTTGATTTCAACAAGACATTTTTGTTCAGTATGTCTGTTTGATCTTTCAGGAGTGTTTAAATACTTAAAAGACTTTTCAATTTATTTTATACTACCATTATCCAGTGTGAATAAAGATCTATCAATCTAACTAAGTTTACTGCAATACCAGTGAAATGAAACCTCTATTAGCCATTTTGAGTTTGCTTTCCAGCCATATAGTAACAGGACATTTTGCAGTCTACTGGGAGACAATCTGCTCATATTCCCAATAAATGAACAGTGTGATCTGTAAGATCTCCTGGGTTACCATGGTTACCAACACATATTCTGTCTAACACTAAGTCACAAGATGTACTTACACTGTTTCAGAATTAAAAATCAGTTTTCAGAATTGTTGAACATAACAAGATTTTGAGGTTTGTTTTGTTTTGTTTTAGTTTGGTTTTTTCCTTGGTTTTTTTTTTTGTTTTTTGCTTGGTTTGGTTTGGTTGTCGGTTTGTTTGGTTTTTTTTTTTCCTCAAAAAAACCCAAAACATAGTAATACTAAATGCAGAAAAAAAATGATACCATCAGTCATTTACAACTTGGCATCTCCAACAGCTGAGCTGTCTTCCTCAGTTCCTGGGTGATAATGATTTCATTTTATGCAATTTTACTTTGAACTACTAAAGGTTACTATGGAAACCTCTACTCTCTTCCCCTTTTCACATTCTTTGAACAGGTAGCAGGTCTCACTATGTGAGGGAAGTGGCACATCCACTGAGACATTACTTGAAATCAGCTCCAAACTGCTTTTACCATTCATGAAGCAATGTTAAACTGAGATTTGTCAGACACTCTGGTAGATGAAGAGAATATTTTCAGGGAGGAAGAAAAAAAAAAGTTTACCTAAGTCTTTTAATATCTGCCAAAACCACCTTCTTCTTTTTTTTTAAAAAAAAAACCTGAAATTTCATCTTTACTTGATTATCATTTTCATAGTTCAAAGTTTTACAAGATGGAATATAAATTATGACAGCAGTAATCAACTTGATGGTACTGAATATATTCTCACATGATTGATGTTGGTTTTAACTTTTGATTAGCTTATCATTATTTATTATTAATTCTTAGGTTTTACTTTTTCAACCCTGTATCTACCTTATTTTGGCACTGCAATAGACTTCTCTGACCCCCCATCTGAATCATGCTAGCAGTTCTTCTCCAAACTACAAGTAATGGATGTCATTATCCAGCTCTTATCACTTCCAATTTGCTTCTAACATTATTAGTTTCTAGTCCAGAATTCATGATGTCTAATCAGAGCACGTAGGTGGACTCCTAACTTCTCTTTCACACAGAATCATAGAATGGTTAGGGTTGGATAGGACCTTAAGATCATGTAGTTCCAAACCCCCTGCTATGGGCAGGAATGCCTCAGTCTAACCCTTTGCTGAAGATTCAGAATTTTGGAACATTTAACTTCTGGACAGTATTTGGCCATCAAATAATCTAATTCTTCATATATTACAATCCAATCATCTTCCCCAGTCTCTAAAAAAAGCAAGCCAATGATATGAGAGAATTGTTTGCTTATATTTCTTTTTAGTCAAGTAGTAAAGAAAAAAAAAGAACAAAGAAAACTATAGTTTTGTTCCTCTTCATTACTCTTCTGGGGTTTATTCTTTATTGGGGTTTATCTGCTTTGATTGGAAAACTTCCACTATCAGAATTTAGGAACACTCAGAAATAAAGCCAATAATAAATCTTTGTCAGCCATTTCTATAAGGCTTTTTACTGCCAGAATTTAATTTACTATTTTTGGAACAGACATCAGTAAAGGCTTTGCTTCACTTTTTAATTTGTATTCAAGTGGAATTGAAGGGCAGAAGAGACCAAAACCTTCTTTGCCAAGAGCAGATGTCACGTTATTCATCTCTCAAAGTTGCTCAGGCAATATCCAACTGTAAATCATTTTGTTCTGCTACATCAAAGACATATCCCTCTTCACAACCATCAACCAATACCGCATTCAAGTACATGTATCATGTATTTCTGTTCATTCTGCCTAGTAAGACCGGAAAATGTGTAATTTTTGCTAATATTTAAATGATAACTTTTTGCATAGAAATTCGGATTCAGGGAAGCTTTTTGAGACATGAAAATGTCAGACACTTTT